CTACTTGGGAGGCTGAGGCAGGAGAATCTCTTGAACCCGGGGGTTGCAGTGAGCCAAGATTGCACTATTGCACTCCAGTCTGGGAGACAAAAGCGAAACTTCTTCTCAAAAAAAAAAAAAAAAGAAAAAAAGAAAAAGAAATGACCAAGGTTACAGTTACTTGCTGGCAAAAAATTAAGATTAATATCCAGGTCTTGCCGGGCGTGGTGGCTCACACCTGTAATCTCAGCACTTTGGGAGGCCGAGGCAGGCGGATCATGAGGTCAGGAGATTGAGACTATCCTGGCTAACATGGTGAAACCCGTCTCTACTAAAAATACAAAAAAAATTAGCCAGGCATGGTGGTGGGCGCCTGTAGTCCCAGCTACTCGGGAGGCTGAGGCAGGAGAATGGCGTGAACCCGGGAGGCAGGGCTTGCAGTGTTGCAGTGAGCTGAGATCGCACCACTGCACTCCAGCCTGGGCGACAGAGCAAGACCCCAGCTCAAAAATAAAAAAATCCAGGTCTCTTCACTCACAATGTAGTATGCTCTTTTTGTCATGCCACATTTTAAGATTTTTGTTATTTTGTTGTTTGTTTGAGACAGAGTCTTACTCTGTCACCCAGGCTGGAGTGCAGTGGCGTGATCTCGACTCACTGCAACCTCTGCTTCCCAGGTTCAAGCGATTCTCATGCCCCAGCCGTTGGAGTAACTGGGACTACAGGTGCACGCCACCATGTCCAGGTAATTTTTGTATTTTTAGTAGAGACAGGGTTTCACCACATTGGCTAGGCTGGTCTCAAAGTCCTGAGCTCAGGTGATCCGCCCGCTTTGGCCTCCTAAAGTGCTGTGATCACAGGCGTGAGCCACCATGCCCAGCCAGATTTTTGTTACTTTGGATAAAATGAAGCAAGTAGGCAAACAAATATTACATGCTAGGGTTACAGGTTGCATGTAATATTACAGATTTATAAGAAAGGCAGTGAGGTATAATGAAAAACCATAATGAACATGGATTCAAAATACCCAAATTGGAGCATATCACTTTCTAACTTACGGGTTCTTATCTCCAGGCACTGTTTAAACTGTAAAATGGTATCTGAATGTCAGTCAGTGTTACCACTATGATTATTTTTTAACGTTTGGCTTTTTAATAAACCCATTAAGACAGAATTTTCCTCTAACAGTACTATATCCTTATAATGAAACCACTAAGAGTATGACAAAGTGGAGAGGCTTAACTGAAAGAAACCTAAGCTTGGACTCAAGTGCTAGCCTAGATATTTAAACACTAATCTCACTAAGTGTTAAGATAATGTCAATTATGGGGCTTAAAATGAAGGTGGGCAGGTGTGGTAATCACGCCTGTAATCACAACACTTTGGGAAGCCGAGGAGAGGATCACTTGAGCCCAGGAATAGCAAATACAAAATAAAATATAATGGATGAACTTTGGAAAAGCTCTTTTCCAAAAATTTTATAGACTTCTTGCTAGTTATACTAAAAACAAAGCAGGATGACAGTGGAGTCAAAAAAAAAAATGCAGATTGGAATCCTGGCTCCCCCACTTACTAGCTGTGCAATTTGAACACCTTACTTAACCTCTCAGGCCTCCAGTTTCCTCAAGTGTAAAACAGAATAGTAAAACTAGAGATAACTAGCCGGGCGCAGTGGCTCACGCCTGTAATCCCAGCACTTTGGGAGGCCAAGGCAGGTGGATCACCTGAGGTCAGAAGTTCGAGACCAGCCTGGCCAACATGGTTAAACCCCGTCTCTACTAAAAATACAAAAATTAGCCAGGCGTGGTGGTAGGCGCCTGTAATCCCAGCTACTCGGGAGGCTGAGGCAGTAGAATCGCTTGAACCCGGGAGGTGGAGGTTGCAGTGAGCCGATATCGCACCACTGCACTCCAGCCCGGGGACAAGAGCGAGACTTCATCTCCAAAAAAAAAAAAAAGAAAGAAAAAGAAAACAAAAGAAAAACTAGAGGTAACTGAGGTAAAACATCTGGCTCAGTGTCCGGCATGCAGGAAGTGTTCAATAACCATCATTAAATTTGAAAAAAAATTACTAAAATTTGCTACAAAGTTTACTATAATAAAAAATATCTGAATGGTAAGTTTTAATTAAGTGACTAACACAATTCAGCACCTACTACATTAACCTACAAGGGTTATTACTATATACATTTAATGCCCAGGTGACACAGCAAGGAAAACATGAATTTTCACATCTCTCGATCTCTTAACTAGAGACTCTTTATTCAGTAGTCATCTACTTTGGCTATTCTACAAGATGCTACACATCTGGCTAACAGGTACTCGCCCTTGTTGTTGTTGTTGTTGTTGTTTCTTTTGGAGACGGAGTCTCTCGCTGTGTCGCCCAGGCTGGAGTAAAATGGCACAATCTCGGCTCACTACAACCTCCACCTCCTGGGTTCAAGCGATTCGCCTCCTGCCTCAGCCTCCTAAGTAGCTGGGATTACAGGCTCCCACTACCACGCCCAGCTAATTTTTGTATTTTCAGTAGAGACCAGGTTTCACCAGATTGGTCAGGCTGGTCCACCCACCTCGGCCTCCCAAAGTGCTGGGATTACAGGCATGAGCCACCTCACCTGGCCCCTTGGTTTTAACTTAAACATCTTTTTTTATATATATAGCTCTAACCCAGAGTGGGAGATTTAAGGTGTGTGGCCTCCAGTTATAACATACAAAAGCATACCTATAAAAGGATTTCAATGAACCAACTATCTAAAATTCATAGAGCTGCAGTTATTTTCTCCAAGAAAAAAACATCTTATACAGCCATAATTTTAAATTAGCTATTATGTGATATAAACATTTCATGCATCCACAAAAATTCTCAGTGAGAGATCTGCTATCTGCTTACAGTTGTAAAATTATCAGTTCTTTAAGAAGCAAAGACTGTAATTTTGAGGATTTAAAATATCATTTGATGTAAATGTTTAGATCTGCTTTATTTGCGTATCTTTTATTGACTGAAAGTAAATATTTAAAATATTTTCAACATATAAGCAGTAAGTTTATTTACTACTTTCTAAGAAGCCAATTACTAATTGTCTCAGTCCTTGTAAATTAGGTCAATAAAGAGGTAAATGGTTTTAAGAAATACTCAATGAACTTCATTAACACTATCATTTCTAGCCATTCTCATCTGTATTCTGGCATGGAACACGTCACATTATACTAAGTGAATAGCTTTTAGTTTATAAACAAACACTTATTTAATCATGAAACCGTCCAAGAAGGATTTCCCCCCCTTATTCTTTTTTTTTACCTTCTCAGATCATATTTAGAAAGCTTTAGTTGCCAGCTACATCAGCTACAAGTTAAAAAGAAACCTCTTAATAAAGCAACAAATTTTCTTAGCACTTTATTATAGTATGCCACCCCTACAGAGACTGTAAATTAAAATATAAGAGAATTATAAAAATAGAAAATAGCAATGTAATTTTAAAGTACACACAAGAGAATACTTTCCAACAATTATTCAACCTAAAACGAATAGCAAACTGATAAAGAGCTAATTCCACAGGCAAAAGACTGTCCCCGACTCAAATCTTCAGTATCTGGAACTGCCTTTCAAGATTCCTGTTAACTGCTGAATATCTATTCAGTAATTTTAGTGACATTCTAGATTTTTACAGTACTACTGAATACGAAACCACCGTAAATTAACTTTAGTGGGGCTCTGTACATGAGGGTCATCCAATGTCCTATTAAAAACCAAATAATATATTCCATAATATCTTCTTCTAGTGATCAAGTTAAATACTAAAACTCTAAGAAGGCCAATTCTTTGATTTTCTCCACTCTTCGAGTACAACAGTAACACTGTAGCTCTGAACTTAAACTCACCCCAAACACTTCCTATCTTGATCTTCGCGGATCAATTCAAATTATTTTCCAGTTCGCATAATAAGAAATCAAAGAATAGATTAAACTGACAACCCTTAAAAGTTTTCACTCCCTGCACCTAATTGTCCAGTTTCTTAAACTTTTGTCTCGCCGTCTTACAATTTCATCTCTCAAATGGAGATGAAGAAAAACACCGAGTGAGATTGTCCACTGAGCTGTGAGTGATCCCAGGTCAGCCTGGTTCTCTGCCAGAAACGACCAGGTGACATTTACTCTTCCTGTAGAAGTTTCTTTCTCTTGACCCTCAAGGAACCTTCCAGAATATTGTTACACTATTATAATTCATCAGTAGTTACAACACTTCACTTCCCAAAGGAATCTCTTCCCTGCACGATGACTACTCTCTAAAGACGCTTTCAAGACCTTCCACTCCTCAATTCCAGGACAGTAAACCTCCCTCGCTAGAGGAGAAAAAGTTCCTAAAAGACAGACCGGAATGGATTTGCTGAACTTTCGTTCCAATCTCAAAGCATGTAGACATCCAAGGGTTCCCAGAAACAATGAGCTACAGAAGTACAGACTACACGGGGAAAAAGAGGAAGTATCAGAACAATACCCAAACCAAACACAGCACCGAAAACCCGTGGTCGCCTCTATCATCCCAGACTACCGCCCCCACTTCCCTAGTTTCACCAAGGTCTCAAACTTGGAGAAATGGCATCCATCCCCTAATTTCCTCCCTCAATAGACAACAAACGCGTCACGAAGAAAGTGGCAGAGAGAGAAGCAGCAGGCTCTGGTGCACCGGAGCCGTGATGGCTGGGTAGAAGGAGGCAAGCCAAGGGTTGTGTAAAGAATGGAAAGCTGAGCGATCCTGGGGGAGGGGGGAATTAGGGCGCCCAAGCTAATCCCCCGCCGGGGCCCGCCGGTGGGAAGAGACGGGGGGCGAACCGGCGAGGGGACTGGTGGCAGCCGGCTGCGCTGGGCTTTCGGGTCGCAAGAAAGGGGAGCAGAGTCTGGCAGCCCCGCCAGTGGGTGGGTGACGGCGCCCGCCAGGGAGGAGGCTCCGTGCGGGGCGGACGTTTTGGGATCAGAGAGCGCGACCCGTCCTCCTCACGCCGCCTGAGACCCCCAAGCTCACACCTCAAATCTGCTCTTGGTCACTCCGTTCACGTCCCTCCTCATGGGGCCGGCGGGTGCGGCCCGGGCCGGGCTCTGCGGCGAGCGGAGTGCACAGACCTGGGGCCCAGGACAGGCCCGGGAGTTCCGGGACGGGGACTGGGTGCCGAACGGATGAGGCCGGGGCCGTGGGACGGGAACGAGAGACCTCTCGGCTCCGGCTGGGCCTCCACCACCTCCCGTGGCGCCAGCGGCCGCAACGACTGCACGTCGCTAGCTCGGCTCTCTCCTCAGCCTCAACTTCAACCCAAAACAAAAACACTCCCCACCTGCCAGCAACGCCGCTGCTCATTGGACAGAGCCGCCCGGGCCTCGGAGCGCCGGGGAGGGGGAGGGGCAGGGGCGGGAGGAGGAGGAGCGCGGCGGCGGCGGCGCGAGACTACCCCTCCCCCACACGGGGCTGGCCCTGACGGTGCGCCCAGGAGCATCCGGAGCGCGGCGGCGGCACGACCCCCTGCGCCTCCGAGGCAGGCTAGCCCATCGGGAGAAGGCGAGGCAGGGAAGTGCCTGTGCGTGTGGAAAAGGGGTCTGTGGGGTGGGTGCGAGTGCGCGCGTGCTCGCGGACCGGCGAGGGAGAGTAGAGCAGGACCGCACTCTGCGCGGGGCCCCTCTTCTGCCCCTTGTCCCCCTCTCCTCCCTCCGCGGGCAAACAGGCACGCACCCACCTGCACAGAACCTCAGCCTCTGCCCGCGCCCCCAACTCCTCGTTACTTGTTCCCCAGAAGCCTGTAAGCACCCTTCCCGGCCACCCAGCTCCCTTCCCCTGTCACTCACTGTCGCCTTGAACCCAAAGTGCAGCAGGCGGTCCCTGCTCGGAGCCATTTTCCTCCTCTTTCTGGATGTGTCTAGATTGGGGCAGTGCGGCTGCCGCCGCCGCCTCCGCGATTGCCGCCGCCGCCTCCCCCACCCGAGTGTATTACATTACGGGGTGCTGCAGGGAGGCCTAGGGGGCCGCTGCCGGACCCTTGTCTCCCTGTGCATGGCTCGGGAGGGCGAGGGCTGGTTGCGCTGAGCGGCAGGCCGAGTGCCCGTCCTGGTCCGGGGATGGCTGCGGAGCTGCACCTGGGGCCGGGGGTCGGGGGTGCAGGGCCGGAGCCGGGCAACCTTTCCTTTGGCCGGGGGAGGGGCGCGCGTCTGTGGGGGTGGGGCGGGCGAGACCGAAAGGCCTTTGGTTTTCCCTGCTCGGCCGCCGCCGACGCCCAATGGGCTGCAGAGCCTGCCTGTCCGCCAGTTAGGGCGCTGTTTGGTGAGAGCCTCGGCCTGACGTCATTTTGGCGGGAGAAACAAGCGTGTGTGAGCGAGTAGGCGGGGGCGTTTTCCCGATGGAAAGAAACACTTCATCATACTCCTGGGCTCCTTGTATAGAAGCTGATCTGTGTCATCATATTATATTGTTTTAACAAGTCTGACCTTCAAGGTTTCAGAATTTATGACCAAATTTCCACGAAGGAATAACCCAGGATTTTTGTAGTTGTGTTGCTTCTTCTACGAACAACAAACTACAAAATCTTGTCCTAAGCGTGAACTATTAGAAACTGTATAATAAATTCCAGCAGTCCTGGCAGGAGCAGCAGCACTGCTAATTGTATGCTTCCAAAGCAGTTATGAGTTGGTCTTCCTCACACCCCTTTTAATTAGTGGTTTTAGCGACTGACTTGTTATGCATCTAAGAAATTAACAAGAGCAACAAGTGCTGCAGATCTTTAAGAATAGGTGTATTTTAGCTGGAGGGCATATTACCAAACTCTTAAAGCACTGTACAAACTTTTTTTTTTTTTTTTTTGAGACAGAGGCTCAACTCTGTCGCTTAGGCTGGAGTGCAGTGGCACGATCTCGGCTCACTGCAACCTCTGCCTCCCAGGTTCAAGTCTCCCCAAGTAGCTGGGATTACAAGCGCGCCGCACCGCGCCTGGCTAAGTAGAGACGAGGTTTCGCCATGTTGACCAGGCTGGTCAGTAACACTTGACTACAAGTGTTCTCCCACCTCGGCCCCCAGAATGCTAGGATCTTTTTTCTTTTGTAGAGATAGGGTCTCCCTATGTTGCCCAGACTCGTCTGCAATTCCTGGGCCCAAGTGATCCTCCAGCCTCCTCCCAAAGTCCTGAGATTACAGACCTCATGTGAGCCACCACGACCGCCCCCCCCCCCACCTTTTTTATTAATTCTAGAGGGGGCTTCGTAAAACCAGGGACCTAGCTTCAGAAAACTCATTCTCAGGCCCACAAACCCAGGTTTGTCTTCTCCTCCTGTTCCAGGTGCTTTTAATGTTTTTGCTTAACTTCAGCCAGTGGAATAAAAAAGCTTTTCCATTCTGTCTCATCTAAGAGCTGTTTTCTCCCAGCAAAAACTACTGATGTATTTGGTGAGTAACACTGGCAAAGGGTAGAAAAACTGGCCTACAGATTAATAGAATGAAGGCAGGTTTCACAGGTCTGTCAGTTACCCATTCCAGTGGACCCATTTCAAGTAGTAACCAGGGAAGACATTTACTTTTGACTGACTCTTTAAAATTGACTGGAGTTTTGAACAAATGAAAAAAGTATTCAAAGTCTAAAATTTTATTACACACACGCAAATTACTTTTTATCAAAGAAGTTTATTTGCATGTAAATAAACAGGTTATTTTGTAATGTTTCGGGAAAAAAAATCCCACAACAGATTTCATCTACTTTCAAAAAAATGAAAAACCCCAAAGTATTTACAGAACGGCCATATGCACAGAAAACCAAATTTGAAAGATTTTTTTTTAAAAAAAGACCCTCCCCAGCTGCTCCTGATGTACATTTTTAAACTCAAAATTTTAAGCTCAGTTCTTATAGCTGAACATGTTTCCCAATCTAGCTTCTGAGATGTTAAGTACTTCCTGCCCCTCCAAAAACTAACTCAAGGATAGAAATGTATGGGGGGCAGGAGAGGAGGGGAGAAGGAAAAAAAAAAAAGAGACTGCCCAAGGATTGTGAATAATGTTTCCTATACTGACATCTTTAAGTGACTCAACTGTGGATACTGTATGACTCACTGGCTTCCTGAAAGGGCTTCTGAGAATTCATGATATTGCTGCACTTAATTTTCCGATCTAGGCCTGAAGAAGGAAAATCTTTCAAGAGTCACCAACCTCAAGCCTGGTTTTGGCAATTATATCCTGCGTTGTTTGTCCCCACCACCCCACCCCCCACCCACTAAAATACTTCTGTTTTAAGACACATTGACATTGAACCTGAAATCTTCATGTACATCAGAGCAGGTTATGACCAAGAACCCCTAATGTTAAGCCAAAAGACAGAAGAGGAATCAGGTCAAACTGAGAATACGTAAGACACCAGCAGCAGAAGATAGGTAGAAGTTGACTTCATGTCCTTGCCTTCTTTTGAAACAGAAGAATGAGTACACCTAGACAGGAGGGAGGTGTCCCAGGCTTGGTTTATTCTGCCTCTTCTCCTCCACCCTGTGGAGAAATGCAGTGCTCCCTGGTTCTCAGGCAGGGTGAAGCAGTTTAGCCCCGGCTCCCTGTTAAGCAAGTTCAGATGCTGGGTCAGTGTGGGGGTGAGCCCATCGACAATTCAGGGGCTTATCCTTCATCCAGATCCTAACTCGGGATTCTTTGATCTGGGATGAAGACAGAAAGAGAGAAAAGCTTCCCAGTTTACTCATTTTGGTATTTGCTGGCCCTGCTTGGGGGAGCTGAGCCCCTGATACTATTCAGTACATTCCCCATAAGATTTTCCCCACCCAGAACAAATTTTAAAAACCACGTAACTTTTTTTTTTTTTCCTGCAGAAACCAACTGGATAGGATTCAAAACTAGGTGACAAACTCGTGAGAAATCCAACCTGGCTGAATGTCTGAGAGGCTGCTACTGTATCAACATCACAAGATAAAGCACTCTGGTATCACCTGCCCATATCCTCCTTAGTGTCACCCAAGACATTTGACTCTGATATGGTAACTGATAACTTTTTTTGCTCCACTTTGCAATGTTTTGTTTCCTACATCTTATTACCTTGGGACACAAAAGTGGCAGAGTTGTTGAGAGCTGATGACCATAAAAAGGAGAACACTAGAGGAAATGAGACAGGAAAGAAAGCCAAAGCTGATTTTCCAACTCTATGCTGACTCCAACCTGCAGAAAGAGCTGAATATAGAAATCTTCTTCCATATATGATGAAGTCACTCCACTTATGACATAACACACAGAGGAATCACCTGGCATTTTTTTTTTTTTAAACCCAGAAGAGTTGTGCTGGGGACCATGCCCCATCCCGCTGATACAGATCCTGAATGGAATAATCAGGAATGGCACAGTGCAGGTGTCAATATCAAAGTAAGGCCGCAGAATTTTTGAGAGGACCCTCCAAAAACTGAGAACTTCTGTTGCACTCAAAACAGTCTCCTGGATTTCTATATTTTTATGTGAAGGGCTCTTATTGATGTCCTCCAGAATCCAGACTCAGACCTATTTCTCCAAAAAGGTCCAATTGGGTTGCTACATAGTAGCAAGGGTTTATCTTCATGCTCACCTAGCATTCCAGGCCCCCATTACTTCAAGTGAGCTTGAAATTGTTTTAAGTGAACTATGGCTGCGGATTTGTTACTGTTTTATCTCAGGGAGCATACTGTGGAGTGATTTAAAGTTTGGACTCCTTCTCCTTGTGATGAAGAGAAACAGTGAGTCCAGCTCTTAGGAATGGCATCAGTTCTCCTGCAAACAAAATGCTGGGATGCAGACTTTTGGCACATTGTGGAAACAGGAGAACTATTAATTCTGTAATGGTTTTCATGCCACCGGGTCAGGAAGGCTGTCACTAAACCTTACTGCATCTGAAAACGTGTTTACATCCCAACAAGCCACCTTAGCTTTTTTTTTTTTTTTTTGAAAGAAAAATGAGATTACAAGTCAATACCTCCACAGGGAGGTAACTCCTAATATTCCTATGATCTCTGAACCCTATTTAAACCCTCCTAAAATAAAAATATCATTTTGGTTTTTCTATTATATTTAACTCTAAAGGCGGGCTCTGACCAATCTGCTTGGGCTTGATGCTATAGTATTAGCACAAGCTATAAGCTCCCTACCACCATATAAGCCTTGCTCTTCGGCCTCCCATCATTTTGAACCCTAAACCTCATAGATTTAGAACGAAACACTGTATAAAAACAAACAGATAAAAGGTTAAAATATTACAAATAAATAGCTAAAATAATCTTCCCTCCCCCAGTCACTCCTAAGAAACAGACACCAAACATTACTTAAGTGTCCAAAATGACCA